TACCTCCTAGAAGACATAATAAAAATTCCAAACGACATCTATGAGTCTGCCCACCTATAACTTATGGTTAAAACAAGCAGACTTTCCACCTCATCACCCTTTGAGAGCTGACTGTACTTGTTTAACCCCAGACTTCCCAAACCTTATGTAACCATAAGAAAACATTTAATTAGTTTACTTAGTTGACTTTCTAAAGGCTTTAAGAAGTCGTTTGCTGGGCCAGAACCAAATATGCATATGTGCCTAGAAAGGAAACTGAGCAGGGAACAAAACAGCCATATAAAAAGACCCTGTTCCTGTTAACTGTGTTTTGTCCTGAAGGCAATGTGGTGAAACCTTTCACAGACAAAAGAAGCACCTAACCAAGCTCTGGGACTCAGTGCATCTCTAACAAATGTATATCCTTTCACACCAGCAAGAAGTGTTAGCCTGTGTTGCTGGTATACTAGCTGGCATGAATTCTAAAGCAGCATCTTGGCTTTGGGAGAAATAAACCAAATGCCTGCCCTAGTATTCATTCTCTCGTCCTATGTACCTCCAACCCCTAAATTAAACACAATTCAACTGGGGCTAAGTCTCTCTGCAAAGGAGTCCTTGGAAAAAAAAAAAAAGAGGAAGCTTTTTGTAACAGATAACTTAAAACAAGAATTTAAGACTCTCTCATTCTTTACCACCTTTTTGCTGGCCCAGTGAATTCTTGGGACTCTTTCACCACACGGCCTCTTGCAATTTTGAAGATCAAATTAGCCAATTAACTTAGGGTTGCATTTTGTTCCTTTCTAACTCATTCTATCTTTCCTTCTGTGGTCTGTTGTTGTTTTGTTTTCCCCTTTATTCTCCCTTCCTTTCTTTTGTCTCCTTTCTCCCTCCAAACCCCTTTGGCTTGCAGATAGCTCGGGAGGCTGAGGCAGCCACATACCACCGACAACTTTTTGAAGGACTTCTCCGATGCTCAGTGTGCACAGATGCTTCAGAAGCCATGGCAGTGGGTGCTGTAGAGGCCTCTTATAAGTGTTTATGCCCAGCTTTGATAGTTCTGACGGAGAGTGGCAGGTAGGGCCCTAAGGGCAAGGTGTAGTAGCTACAGATAACAAGTTGTTTATTCCTAAGGGGAAAGTCTCCGAAAATGATGACCATGGCTTCCAAAAGGTCAGAGTGATATCTTATTGTTCCCTGCCCTGAATTTGTGGGCTCATTTCAGAAATGCCAGGAGAACATCCAGAGAGTTTGCAGTAGGGCAAGAGTCCCTTGATATAGGTCAAAAAGACAATTCATTGATCTCTTACAACATGGTAGAGGAAACTATCACAGGCACATGTGAACTTCTGATGGTCTTGATCTGTCCTTTCTCTGGACTCAGATATGAGTCCCCTTGAATGTAGAAACCTAATCCTCAATTGCTATGCTTGCGGCACCATACTTCCTTCCTCTGCCACTGAAGCTCTGACAAAGATGTGATCTGTCCCTCCCTTGTTCTGTCCCCTTGGACGGGATGGGTGTTGCTCTTATAGATTGCCCGAGAGGCAGAGGCCGCCATCTTTCACTCGCAGTTGTTTGAGGAGCTTCGCCGCCTGGCCCCCATAACCAAGGATCCCACTGAAGCAGCTGCCGTGGGTGCCGTAGAGGCTTCCTTCAAGTGTTGCAGTGGGGCCATTATCGTCCTCACCAAGTCTGGAAGGTAGGAGGTGACAAAGTCATTTGGGGAAGGTCAAGATGAAAGGAAACAAACTTGTGATGGAGGCCAAGGTCCTCAAGGAACTTCAGAAGTCTGGTAAACAACCTATTAAAGATAATTCAAGCTCAAACTAATAGAAGGTAAGATAACATCTGAGCTGCTCCCTCGGAGGACTGAACGCTTCATCTTCAGTGCAGGTTTGAAAAGCTGAAATTTGATTGTCCTTTATAATGTGCTTCTGACAGTGCTTTGGACAATACAAGAAGCTACCAGTGCTGACCGATTTTGTGACAAACCAATGGATGGGAATATAGTATGGTACAGTGAAAAGATTACTAGCTTTGTTCAAAACCTGTCTCCAGTGCTTATTGTGTGTGACTATGGACAAGTCTTTTATTTTCCTTAGGCCTTAATTTCCCCACCTGGAAAGTGAAGAGGTTGGACTAGATGGTTTTGGAGGTCCCTTCCAGCTCCAGTTCCATGATCCTATGGTTCCTAAATAAATTGGACGCAAAGAAAATCTCCTTGATTCAGAATCCCATAACTAGAACTTTTAGATTTTGGACTAGAAAAAGGAGCTAGGCTAAGAAAATTTAAGGTGCAAATCAAATTAGAAGGGAGACATTGGTAACTACTTAAGAGAAGGAAATGGTCATTTTTTCCATTTTTTAATGGTTATCTCTTGTTTTTTATGTCATCTTTCACTGTATCTTTGCCCCTAAAATACAGGTTTAAGCATCTGTTTACATAAAAATATTAGATAAGCAGATGATTATAAGTGATTCCAATCTGTTCATTTAAAATAGCCCATCATCAGGCATTCTTTAGTCAGACAATATTAGGAACTTGGGTAAGCCTATTTATAGATACTTAAGGGCAGCTTGGTGGTGCAGTGGATAGAGCACTGGGCATGGGGTCTGAAGTCAAGAGGACTTGAGTTTAAATCTGGCCTCAGACACTTGCTAGTTATGTGACCCTGGGCAAGCCACTTAACCCTTTTTTGCCTCAGTCTCCTCATCAGTAAAATGAGCTGGAGAAGGAAATGGCAAACCAGTTCAGTATCTTTGCCAAGGAAACCCCAAATGAAGACACGAAGAGTCAGACACTACTGAGCATCAAATTGTATACTTAAAACTTTACTTTAAAAATATTTTTGAATGTACACTTCACTTAGATTAGTCTTTCTTTTACACCTCAAATCTGTAAGTAGTCCAAAATATGAAGTATTGTGGTAGACTGATCTCTCCTGCTCCCAGCATTCCTGAGTCTTGGGAAATGCTAAGTGAATATAATCAAAACAGGATGATTTCTAGCCACTTTTAGGGGACAGAATAGGTCAGGAAATCTGTTCAGGGTCATTCCATGTTGGTCAAACTATGAGTATTAGGGAGCTGTTCAGGGAATGCAGGAGAGAGGACACATTCTAATGTGTCCTAGGGGGAAAAACATGTTTGTTTTTCCTTTCAACCATACGATAGGTGCCTTCCCTTTTTCACTGAGATTCTAGCCATGGTTAAGTTAGATTTGACCTTTGTTGAAGAGGCCTGAACTTTGCCATCTGACTATTTTTAGCTGTTAAATCTTCTGAGATTTCAGCTTCAGCCACTCCATGGGTTCCTTACTGATGCCTGCATCTTTATAGGCTATATTTAGCCTAGTACTGCTGAGACAGCACAGAAGCAATGATGGAATCTCTTTGCTGTGTTGACAGTCCTTGCTTACCCTCTATCGCTTGGGTCAGCTTTGACTTCTCTGCCACCACTTACAACTTCCCTTTTTTGCTAGTGGACAGAAATCCCCATAATCAGGAGATGTCCTGGAAAGGTTTTAGAATTGCTTCTGTACATTGCTAGTAAGGCCACTTTAAAAAATAAGTAAATAGACTGTCACCATAACCCAGCTTGTGGCACCCATTCTCTTTGACCCCTTGGACATACTTCCACAAAGCTATGCTTCTTCATAAGCTATATTACAGAGGGTAGATTACTAAATATCTTATTGATCAACTAAACTGTTTAGCACTGTAGCCTTCTGTAATTTCTCCCTCACCTTGAGAGTTTGGAACATTCATTCCGTGATATTTAAGCATCTATTATGTGCCAAGTGTTGGCCTTAGGGACATTTAGTAAACAGTCTTTTCCCCCCAACAGCAGGAAAGTTAGAACAAGATACACCATGTTGATGGGGAAAAGAGCAGGGAACTTAAGTGAGGCACTAGAGTTAAGATAGATCTTCGGAGGCCTGTATAAGAATGGTGACTTTGAGTTTTTCCTGCCTGAAGAGATAGATATATTTGGTGATGTACTAGGCTGAGTGTAGGGATTGGGTTCTGTTGACATGCTTACCAGCAGGTTATGGTTAAATTAGTTCTGCCTGGCAGCTATGGGAGTGAAAGGGTGTGGCGAATGAGACCACTTGTGAAAATGTTTTTTACAGGCTGGGGCAAACCAAGATGACTTCCAAAAGTTCCTCCTCCTCTTGACTACTGATTCATTGGTTTGGCATTAGGGAAAGTTTCAGGAAGAACAGGAGAAGAAAGGGAGAAGAACCGAAGATGGGAGTAGTCTAAACTCAGTAGCTTGCAGCATCTCAGGACCTTCCTGATAACCTTCATATTCGTCATGTGGACTGAAAAAGTATTCTACGTTGCCTGGGACTCACACCCCTTTGAACTCTAATTAAGAGCTTGGGGTGGCCACATAAAATGGACCAATTCACAGAAGGTTTAAATGGCTTCTCATTTTGAGTTCAAAGACCTGAAGATAAGGTTCCATTATAATGTAGAGAGTGATTAAGGAAAATTTCATTTCCTTAACATGTGGGGTTTGGGGGTTTTTGAGACTTGATCTCCCTATCTTGCCCAGGCTTGAAGGACACCTGCCATATACATACCCAATCCCATTGCTGATCAACATAGCTCTTTGACCTGCCCCATTTGTCACCTGGGCCTGTTTGCCTCTAGTTAGGTAACCTGATATATACTCACTCTAGCAGGCAACGGGGCCTCCCCATATTGATGCCTGACTTAGTGCAAATACTCAATTGGTTTAGCACACAGAACTTTAGCTCAGAACTCCCAAGCTCAAACTGTCCACCAATCTTGAACTATTATGACATTTTTGTACCCAGAATTGGATATAGTACTCTTAGGGAAAACAAGAAAAGACAGTTTCTCTACCTTCAAGAAATCTGTTTAGAGAGGAGAGCGTTATGTATACGAATTAATAATAGCAAGATAAATTAAATGTTGGAATGCTTGCTGAAGGGAATTTTGAGGTAGTTTGGTTTGGTTCCTAGGACCCTAATTATCTTCTTTTCCTTCTCCTAGGTCTGCTCATCAGGTAGCCAGGTACCGTCCTCGGGCCCCCATCATAGCTGTTACTCGTAGTCCTCAGGCTGCACGCCAGGCTCATCTCTACCGAGGCATCTTTCCTGTGCTGTGCAAGGAGCCTGTTAATGAGGCATGGGCTGAAGATGTGGACCTCAGGGTTAACTTTGGCATGAAAGTTGGTACGTAAAAGGGTTAGGGTTGCTCCTGTAACTTAAGGTTAGGTTTTTTATATTGCCAGTATAATTGATGTGGTTGCTGTCCTTGGTGTAGTTGTGTGTTACATGAAAAACTACTTTTGGCTCTGAAGAGACGACATGACAACTCTCAGTAATTGGAGCCTTCTAGAGTGAAACCAGACTGGGTCCCCAAACCCTCTAGCTGAAGGATGGCTTTTGGGTATAGGAATGGAACTGAGCAGGAACAGTCCAGAGTCTAGGGTGCTTCTTCTGACCATCCCCGAGTTGGCTCTCCATTCTTTACTCATTGAAGCAATATGGTACTGGGCATTTGATAAAGGGCAATATTGATTAGAAATTAGAAATGACAGTAAGATAGTCCAACAGTACAAGCAGGAACAACCATGTACATTCACGTATATATTTATCTAATACCCTGGAGAAAATTTAAGGGAGCAACCTGGTGTCAGGAAGACTAGTGATTGGGAATGAGAGCCACTACCTACATGGCTTTGTAAGTCTTTTAGCATCTCTAGGCTTCTGTTTCCCTTGGAAGATAAAGGGGTTGGGCCAAATGATCTTTATGGTCCCTCTTAGTTTGGATAGTCCAAAGAGGAAACAAGAATTCAGGAAAAGCTATGTAGGGAAGAGTTTGTTAAGATTATCTTATATATCAGAAAATGTCACCTGTGTGCTCTTTGGTTTCGCCTGATGCCACCTTGTGGCCAAAAAAATGCTGCTGGTGAAGGGACTAAAGTTTAAACTGTGAATAGTAGTTCTTGGGCCCTGAATTACTGTGCAGCTGTTGAATGGCAATTTTACTGTGGATCTGAGTTAGCTTCCTAGAGTGGAAGGATTGAGTTTTCTTGAACCTCAGTTTTGAGAGTTCAATTTATGATACTTTCTCTCTAATCCATTTTCTTAGGCAAATCTCGTGGCTTTTTCAAGAAAGGTGATGTGGTCATCGTGCTGAATGGTTGGCGTCCAGGTCCAGGTTTCACCAACACTGTGCGTGTGCTGCCGGTTCCATAAAAGGGCATTTGAAGACCTTCTTGTGGGTGACTTCAGCACCCTCCCTTCCCTGCCCCTGCCTGCATCCATTAGAACTGCAGCTGTTATTGGTGTTGTCCATTCCTGGCTATTAGAGGCTTTAGACTGCTAAAACACCCCCCAAAACAATTAAAGTCTCTTAAAGAAACTTTATATTAGACCTACTTTCCTCCCCACCTAGAAACATCACTATCAGTTTAGCATGCCCCTGGTGGTGTATAAAGATATAGCAGCTGTGGCTTAGGTTGGGGTACTGCAGGTCATCTTTGATATAGGGGATTAAAGTAACATGTATCAGTATTGTGTTTTAAATTGATCTAGACATCCTTCATGCACACACAAGTAGACACTAGTCACAGTCCCTCTAAGTATAAGTCCTCAATGTATATGGGCCTCTACATCTTTCCTGACCAGAGGAACAACTCTCCCTTTCCCCACGTAAGTTATGTAAATCACATAAATTAAAGTGTCTTGTTTTCATACACTTAAGTTGAAAATTAAATAGAAGCTGAATCCAGCTGCTAAAAACCAATAGGTGAACAATGTGATATTTAGCAATGGGTGTCCTCTGGTAAGGCACTCCTACGTTGGAGGGGGGGGGAAAGAAGTTTCCAATCATAAGCCACTTTTTTTTTTCTTTCATTTGGAGGAGGGAGCCTAGAATGGAAAGGAAATTCTTCCCAGAATAGTCCTCACTGTCCCAGGCAGTGGCCTTACTACACTCCTTGCCTGCTACCCAAACCTCAGCCTTCTCACGTTGTAAGTGTCCGTGTTCCTCCAATATTTCTTTCTGTTTTTAATCTGGAACAAACCCACACTCCTATTGTAATGTATTTGGCTGTAGAGTACATCATTTGTCAATAAACACAAGCTGAAGCACTGGTGTACCTCCTTTCATTTCTGATTTCCAATCTCTAGGGGTGGGGGGGGAGGTAGGGGCTAGGGAAGGGAACAAATCAGGGAACCTGGACTCATAACTACGGTGACTTGTCACACTCTGATAGGATGATCTGTTCCAGGTGTCTGACCATGGACTGGATTCTGTTTCCTAAACTTGTCACACACAGAAATGCAGCTTCCTCTCCCACTTTTTTTTTTTAAAGGATTACTAGCATTCCTAAAGGCAAAGAGTAAAGTATGGGTACAAAATGTATTCTGAAGAACCAACCCAGACAATTTAAAACCCCACTTCATTTTTCTTTCAAGGTTCATATAAGTTTTGACTAAAGTGTGTTTTCTATGGTCAGATTGGTTAGCCCAGGAGTGGGGAACCTGCCCTCTATGTCCTCAAGTGCAGCCCTTTGACTGAATCCAAACTTCACAGAATAAATCCCTTAATTAAAGGATTTGTTCTGTAAAACTTGGACTCAGTCAAAGGGCCATACTTGAGGACCTAGAAGGCTCTATGTGGCTTCAAGGCCACAGTATCCTCACCTCTGCTCTATCCACTTTGATACTTAGTTGTCCGTGGAGAAGTACTAAGAACTAAGTAATAAATAGGCTATGGCCAGATTATGGAAGGCCTTTAGTGCCAAGCTAAGGAGTTTGGGATTCTGAAGGGGGGACCCTACCATAATGAAAGTGAAAATTCATCTAGTAGCAGGGGAATATAGGATTGATGGAAAAAGGGAGAATAATGAAGGCTAAGGTCAGTCAAAAGATGGCTAGCTGTAATCCAGTAATGTTTATTACTGAAGTTGCTTGCAGGATCAGGGTCATACTTTTGGTGGGTTAACACAATTGAAAGTAACCTCAGAGGCCCTCTAGTTTGGACCATACTTTAACAAGAATCCCTTCTCCAGCATCCTCAAGTGATCATCCAACCTTTGAAGACATTTTAGAGAGGGATAGAGGAAGGAAGACTTCTGTTGTAAGATATCAGTAATTGTTAGGAAGTTTTTCCTTATAACAAACCTAAATTTGCCTTTCTGTAATCTGCCCGTACTTCTTCCTGCTGGAGCAAATAATAACAGAATTAATAATCCCTCTGCTATGTGAGGCTTCTTCAAATACTTGAAGCCAATTATCAGCTCTCTCCTAAATCCTTTCTTCTCTGGGCTTAACATCCCCCGTCCCCATTCTTCAGCTAATTTTTAAAATTATTTCTTCTTAACCAGCAAAAATCTGCCTCCTTTATCTCCTACCTCCCCTACCCCCTTTAAAAAAGAAAGAAAAAAAAAACCCTGCTACAAACACATATAATCAAGCAAAACAAATTTCCACAGCCTGTTCTGTCCCTGTCTCTCTGTTTCTCTCTCTCTCATCTTTACAAGATTATTGTCATACAAATTGTTCTGCTGGTTCTACTTGCATCAGTTCATACTAGTCTTCCCAAGTTGCTCTGAAACCATTCCCTTTTTCATTTCTTAACAGCACAATATTATTCCATCACATCTATATATTGTAACCCAGCCATTCTCCAATTGATGGGCACTTCTCCAGTTTCAGATTCTTTCCATTTCCAATTCTTTACCACCTCAAAAAAAAAAACCTAATAATAATTTATACTTCCTTTAGAGTATGCTCAGAATTAATTTCTCCCTTAATCTATCCTCTCCATTAATTCCCCCTTTACTATTTCCCATTTTCCTCCTATTTCCCTGTTGAGTTTTTCTGTACCCAGTATGTATTTCTGTAGCCAGTTTTGTGTTTGCATTCTTCCCTCCTTTGACCAGTTCAGAGAAGTGAAATTCAAGTGTCAGATACTTATGTCACCTCTTCATCCTTGTTTATATCGACTTCTACTTGAACACCCAAATTATATAAGATGATTTTCCCTAACTTTTTCCCTTCCCCCAGCCCCAGTGGATTCCTCTTCCCCTCCCTTTCCATTCTTTTAAGATCAAGACAACAACCACTCGGAGGCCTTCTATCTAATTAGATTCCCTCCATAAGCCCTAAAGATGATAGGGTTCAGAGAGGATACATGCATCATCAGCCCCATGTTAGAATTTAGCAAGAAGTTTATCCTTGTTTGGTCCCTTCTGATTTTTTATGTTTACCTTCTGTTATGTTTCTCAGTATTCCTGGGTTTGTACTTCAAAGATTCTATTGGCTCTGACCTTTTTATCAGAAATATTTGAAAGTTCTCTTTCATCAAAGGGTCATTTTTTTGTTTTTTGTTTTCCCCTCTGTAGGATTATGCTCAGTTCTGCTGGGCAAGTTTTTCTTGGTCGTAAGCCTATGCTCTTGCCTTTCGGCATATCATATCCTAAGCTCTCTTCTGCTTTATAGTGGTGACTGCTAAATTGTTTGTGATCCTGACTGTGGTTCCTTTGAATTCTTTCTGCTTTCAGCATATTTTTTCTTTGACCTAGGTGGCACAGTGGGTAGAGTGCAGGGCCTGGAGTCAGGAAGACTTATCTTCCTGAGTTCAAATGTGGCCTCAGACACTTAATGGCTGTATAACCCTGGGCAAATCTCTTAACCCTGTTTGCCTCCAAAATGAGCTGGAGAAGAGACTGTCAAACCACTCTAGTATCTTTGCCAAGAATTAGCCTCAACTGAACAACAACAACAACAACAGAAGTTCTGCATATTAACTCTAATGTTCCTGGGAGTTTTCATTTTGGGATTTTTTTCAGAAAGTGACTAGTGAATTCTATTTCTACTTTGCTTTGTGGTTCTCAGAATCTGATAGTTTTCTTTTAGGATTTCTTGAAATATGTTTTGGCTCTTATTTTGGTCATGGCATTTAGGTGAATTTTTTCTTATCAACCTGTTTTCTAGGTCAGTTGTTTTTGCTATGAGATACCTTATATTCTAATTTTTCCTTTTTTCTTTGTTTTAGTATTTCTTGTTGTCTGATAGAGTCATTAATTTATTTGGTTCATTCTAATTTTCACGGAGTTTATGGTTTGTTGTTTGGTCAAGGTGTTGTACTTCGTACGCCAAGCTCTTAATTCCCTTTCCAATTCTTCTTAATTTTAATTAATTTGATTTTAACTTATTTATTTAATTAACTCAATTTATTTTTCAATTTTTACTCCCAGCACTCATTTTATTCATAAAAATATTGAACTTTTAAAAAAATTATTGCTTCATCTCATCCAAGAATTCTAGTTGAATTTCTGCCCATGCTGTGGTTTTCTTTTTTTTAATTCATTCTTTGTTTTTTAATTTAATCTTTTTTTTCTTTTGGTGAGGCAATCGGGGTTAAGTGACTTGCCCAGGGTCACACAGCTAGTAAGTGTCAATCAGGTGTCTGAAGCAGGATTTGAACTCAGGGCATTCTGACTGCAGGGCTGGTGCTGTATCTACTGCCCCACCTAACTGCCCCATGTGGTTTTCTTAAAGTCTTTGCATGTAGATATTTTGGAATCTAGGTTCATGTCTTGAGCATCTCTGTCGCTGTAAAAGGTTTTTATGTTGGGATTCCTTTTTTTGCCTGCTCATTGTTCCAGTCTACTCCCTTACTTTATGTTAGGGCTGTTCTCTATGGGAATGTCTGGGTTATTCTAGCTGTTCCTTTCTTGGGAAACTGAGTGTTGTGTTATTCCAGGATCTCAGAGACAACTTAGCATGGTAACTTGAAAGCTTTCAGTGTTCGCGAAAAAAAGTCTGTTCCATTCAAAGTCTGTCTCCCTGGTCTGAGCTCTGCAAGTTTCAGACCTAGATTTGGGTCTGAGCAACAGGTCTGTGGGCTTGCCCCTTTGGAATTTCAGTAGCTTGCTATATAAACAATCAGCACTGACCAGCTGGCAAATTCTACTGGTTCAGAGTGACTAAACTGCAGGCTCCCAGTTGGTCTGGAATTCTTGTCCTGGAGGCTGGAATTGAGACCCCAATCTGCTCCCGGTGTCCATGCCATGCAGTTGCTACTTGCTTCTGAACTTTTTCATCTCTAAGTACACAGCCTAGGGCCCCTAACTGCCCCTTACTATGTACTCCTCCGTGCAGGCCCCCTCCTCAGTCTGCCCTAGATCTGTGACCTGAAAATGGGTAGTGAACAACAGAACTGCCAGTTGGCATTTGTTGTTGTACCATGCACTTTTCAGCCCCTTTGTGCTGGATCTGGGACCTCTCCTTGCCCTAGTTCTCAGCCTATTCCCTGCAGAGCACTCCTGGCCAGACCACATTCCCCATGTCTATAGACCTCTCTATCCATCTTCCTATGCTCACCTAGGCTGGAAAAATTATCTCTGTGATTTTTTTCCCTTGCATTTCCTTATTGGGATTCAGCCAGTTGCATTTTCTAGATCTGTTTTGGTGGAGGTTTGGCTTTTTTTGGATGGGGGAGCTTGCTATATTTCTTGCTACTCTCCCATCTTGGTTCTGCCCTCCTCAATTGATCTTTCAATGATATGATGTTCGTTATTTTGACTGTCCTCTGAATGCCCTCCAGCTTATCTTTTTTTTGTTTTGTTTTGTTTTGGTTAGGCAGTGGGGTTAAGTGACTTGCCCAGGGTCACACAGCTAGTAAGTGTTATGTGTCTGAGGCTGGATTTGAACTCGGGTCTCCTGATTCCAGGGCCTATGCTGTGTCCACTGTGCCACCTAGCTGCCCCCCTCTAGCTTATCTTTGTCCTGTCTAAAATGTGGCCAGAACTGATCATGATGCTCTGGAAGTGATATGATCTGGGCAGAGGACAATAGGACTGCTATATCTCTAATTCTGGACTCTCTGCTTCTCTTAATGCAGCCTTTTGGGTTGGGGGAGGTGGTGCAGCTCTCAGTCTTTAACCACTTACCTCCTTGGTTTTATAGATTGTAGGTTTAACCCTCTGCCTTGACTCTTCCCTGTGAGGTATGAGAACTGGGTAGTTGGTACCTCTTTCAATCTCCATGATCCAACCTAGCTTGAGTAATTAATCAATTTTTAAGTACCTACTCTGGGCCAGGTACTGTGCTAACCACTAGGGATACGAAAAAAGTTAAAAGA